TCAAAGGAGCCGAGGCAGGAATAACATATTACAGTTAAGGGGCATCAGGGCACCTCTTAAAAAACTTCCTACGTGCTGTACGTCTACTACTCAGAATAAGGAATTCAATAGGAGGTGAAATAAAAACCAATTGAAATTATAGAGTTGGTGCTTTTTCGAAATCAGCAATTTTAGGACTAAAAATTACAGTTCCTGGCAAGACTGTGTGAGAAGCTCATCTTCAGACGTAGCATTGAAAAACCTCAACAATCAAAGTCAATATAGAAACTACTAGACCACGTATGTCGCTTTGCGACATCGCAGATCTCCTGACATACTTTATTTTCTAAATGGGAGGCCAGTGAACATCAAATTATGAGAATCTCGAGCGATTTTTCCTCTCTGTGCGAGGAAAATTCCGGGAAAGCCAGAGGGAATGCCGTTGCTTTGTTCTCCTTCAAAAAAAATAAAACGGGAACGGAGGTTTTTAAACACCGCAAACGCGATACTTAGATTGAGATTTTCGCTGTCGATATCCTGATAGGAGTGTTCCTAATTTTGCATGTCATTACTTACTCGCTGAAACGTGCGCAAATAAAAAATTCTGAAGCGCCCCATAAAGGCAAGAAACTAGAGCTGGGGAAAAAACCTCTGCGTATTGCTTAATTCCATTGATTTCATTTGCACACTTTCGAATTGCAGGCAAGACCAGACGCAGAGACTTCTTGACAAGTATCTTATCGGCTGTGGGAGTGTCCCGGCGTGTGGCAATTACGCAGCAGAAGTGATGCTTTTTCTGTGTTTTTGCCTCGATAAGGAGCATGCTCAATTTGTTCACTTTTCCTCTCGCTTGCCTACCAGATCCATGCATGGAAAGGGGACCGGGATGAGGAAACCACTCAGGAGTCTACGATTTAAGGCTTATCTCCAAGTTTTCACACCTGCAAATCGGGCGACTGCCTGCAACCATCACGCGCACGTCATAGCCGGGAGAATATCCGCGAGCTCATAGATATTCATTGACCAAGTTTCCACCAGAGGGGCAAGGCCGCGTATGAGGATTCCCGGTTAAGGGCCGTTCAAGTATTACATATCGCACTTGGGGGAGGGGAGGTCCGAGCCAGCGTTACGAAGCGTCACAAGGGGAGGGGGTCAAGCCCAGCATTACGTAGCAAATCCGAGCCGGGGGAAAAAAGAAACTGAGAAAAAAAAGTACGAAAAATTGAAAATCCCGCCCCTCCTGAATGAATCTTTTCGGTGCGGGACCCAGCCAACTTTTAACCCCGTGGTTAACTTATTCCAAATGGTTCATGTGCACTTTTCCGGTAAAATTATGAATAAAACAAATGTAATCATGTATTTTCACACCTTTGTTGATCTCTTCCCGTCGTGTTTCAGCGAAATATCTCCCAAAAAAACCCGACTTTTTTCAAGCTGTTTCCTCAGCGTTTTCTTCATTTTTTGAAAATGGGGGGGGGGGCCAGGCCAACGTTGCATAGTTTAAAAAAGGCGGTGTAGGGTTGCATTACAAAGGGGGAGGAGGGATAAAAAAAATCGGGAAAAGTGCATTCTTGTAATACGGCCCCTGATAATTTTATTGACCAAGCTTTCAACACAGGGGCAAGGCTGCGAATGAGATTTTGCGGGTTTACTGCGCTTTTCAATGTTATGATTAAAAAACTAGCTATTCAATGGGTTAGTTAGCCGTATCATAGATTGCTCCGGGTGCTGGAGCCGTAGCTTAGATTGCTTTGGGTGCTGGAGCCGTAGCTTAGATTGCTCCGAGTGCTAGAGCCGTCGCTAGATTGCTCTGGGTGCTACGCCCGGAACTTTCGGCTTCTGAACCCGGAGTGCGGACAGTATTTCTTCATAGCCCGTAAGTACGGACTCCGCGACTGGAGTATCTTTCCACTGTTTTTCATCGTCAAACGCCAAAATACGTCTTTCCTTTTGCTCTGGCAAAAGTTTGCAACGGGCCTGTCCGACGGGAAAGACCGCACGGCGTTGATTACAGTTGCCAGCCTGGCTGGCTGCGAAGGATAAATAAGGTGAGTCCTGGGATCTAGCGATGAGCCTGCTCGAGGCTTCGTTTATCCCAGGATTAAACTCAAGTGGCCCGATAAAAGCGGCCAGCCCGCAATTAGGCCCTCGAAACGCCGCCGCGCCGATAAGTGCGGGAATCGAATCGGCAGACTGTATGACTCCGCGGCATCGCGTCGCGCCAAGGTTGCCGCGTCTCATAATTGCCCCCAGGTCAAGTGGGTCTCCGCCGGGGGCCCCTCGATTCAATTATCGATATGCGAACGTATCTACGCTCACGGTAGTTATCGCTACAAACAACAAGTACTCCTCCTTCGTGGAAATTTTTACGGAAAACATGTGGTTGTCGTCCTCCTACTTTTGGCTATCCTTGTTCTCAGTGCGTACAGCCTTCTGAATTCGGCATAATTTTACCGCGACAGCACAGCTGATATAATAACTCGTTGAAAAAGTGACGGCATTTTTTGCGGTTTGAGGATTCAACATGCCGACGGCGCACAATGAATCGAGTCAAAAGGAGAAGTCGGACAAAATTTGGAAACTTTAAACGCTGTAAACTCCGTTTATACATAACTTTGAGGTTCTAAAAATGATTTCATTGGTTTCCTCGCGAAATTTTCTTCTAGAAGCACCCCTTAAAGTTTAAAATGTGATGGAATAAACATCAGAATTTGCAATTTTAGTAAAAAATTCCATGTGCGACCTCTCTAATTGACTTGATCCACTGTGCGGCGACGGGGACGTCTCATGAAGGGATAGCGGCAAGGCGTCCGCGATGAGACGTTGCGTTATCAATTGCCCGATATCCTTCGGGAAATTGGGTTGATGAATATAACAATAATCAGTGTGAGTAAAAACTGTTCACTACCTAACCAGGCTTGAAGTGTCTAAAAAGGCAAATCTGTCATTGGCAGATACGCCTCCTTGGTGCACCGAAAATGCGCCCCTTTGACAGACGGCAGAATAAGAAGAGAAACAAAATTACAACCGAGAAGATATGCGGAAAATTTTTTAAATGAACGGGAGAAGAGAGAGTAAGGAGTAAAGAATGGTGTTCGCACGCATGATAGTGGTGAACGGAGATCCAGAAACTGCTTTCTAAAGCGGAAACACTTTTTTGTGAAATTTTCATCTTTTTGTTGACATACAGGCACTTTATCATCCCCCTCCTTCATCCGCCATGTGCAACTCTCTTAGAAGCGATGGTTTCTTCGATTTTTAGACGTGCGCCCCTTGATAGTTTGAGAGATCTTTAAACGTTGTTTTCCCTTTTCAACATGAGTATTGATTTGGACGTACCGGACACATCTCGAGCAAACTGAATCTAAATTTATCTTAATTTTCAATAAAGAGATACATCTAAACGCGATACAACTGTTCGCACAAGACGGATGTCTACATTGTACATAAACAATTTAAGTCGCGAAGACGCAAATCGTGAGCCGTAAATTCACAATGCTCTGCACTATATGCTGCTAGTAAGATTCGGGAGAAAAGTTAAAAAACGAAGCACGAATACGTCTCTTCTATCTTCGGCTGTGTTTTGCACGTAGCTCTTGCAGCACCACTATGAATAAGACAAACGGAAACAAACACAATATGGAAATAGAGCTAGGGAAAGGATGCGCGTTGACGACGGCGCAGAGATACAACTATTCGTACTTGATGGACGTCGGTGCTGCATCTGAAAAATTGAAGGCGCGATGGCGCGAGACGTCGCGATGCTCCGCTGCATGCTGTCATAGAGGTGTCGCTCAGATTCGGAAGAAAAGTTAAAAAAGAAGCCCGAATGTTCTCTCCTGTCTTCGGTTGTGTTGATTTTAGATTCTCTCTTTTTTTTAAAGTTCATGTCTGATTCTTTTTTAGGATGGATTTGCAGACCCACATCTAAAACCCATGTAAACCGCAGCACTGGCTTGGTCCCTTTGGAAATAATGGTGCTTGGATGCGTCTAGTAGCTTTGTTTTTTTATATTTTCTTTAATTTCAGAAGTCTATTGGTTATTTCAATACGTTCAATTTTGAAATGTTTATTCTGTACGATCAAAAAAACTTTGAATAGCGTACACTGGAATAAAAACACATTGGATCTAGAGTCCAAACTCTTAAAAACATCAACAAGAAAAAATACTCTTGATTCAATCGGACTTAAGCTCAAATCAAGAACCAAGCCTCTTAATTTGAGCGGATTTTCCTTTGATTTAAGCTTAAATCTCATCAGATAAGCCTCGTCGTTGCATCCAAGTCTTAGCGGTAAAATTTTTATGGTCAGGTCTGAATTTTTTTGGTGTACTTTATTTTGCCTGCCCGCGCGGCGCTTCGGTCCGTACTTACTTACATTTAGCGTTCTTTTTCAGCCATCTCCGTTCTTCCGCCGCCCGTGTTGCCGTTGCCTCCGTCTCGGGGCGGCATCGGCCTTGGCCGGTGCCGCTTCGGGACGTTAAAGAAAATAATGGGTCGTAATTTTTTGGGTATTTTATTTTAGGTCGCAATCGTGGACAGTTTTTGGTCCCGCTGTCTAGTTTTTCTTTTTTTAGTGCATTTTTATTTCGGCGTGTTTATTTTTTCGGTTTCGGTATTTTCAACAGCGGGGCCTTCGCGGCGCAGGGATCCTCCCTTGGATTCGGGTCTGACGCACCCGCGCACCCGAGTTGGTCGGGGGTTGTTCGCTAGTGAACCCCGACCCCTTCCTCCCCTTTCGTGGCCCTCAACAGGCGCGGCGGGTTGTTGTTGTTCGCGACTGGGGATACCTTCCTTTGGCTTCCCCTGATGTTGCCGCTCCTCTGTGCCTGCGTCCTCGGTTGTTAGCCCATATCCTGTCTGATCCACGGCGTACAGATCAAGCGGAATCGTTGACGTGTCCGGCATCGTGATTCCCGCGCCCCCCAGGATCCCGGAATGCGGACCTTGAGTCCGCGAATCCGGCCCTGGCGGTCGGCGGGGGCTGAAAGCGGGCCGGACCGGAGGAGCAAGTCATTTTGACTAGTGCTTCGGATGGGGTCGGCCGGCCGCGCCCCTCACTACTTGTAGGGAGGGGCGCTGCGAAGTCTGGGTCCCATGGGTGGAGTGGGTAGGACTTGGAGCGCCGGCGTAACACAGGTCTCCTCGGAGTCCTGGCCGGGGGCCACCTGGAATCCCCCACACACTCACGGGAGGTAACCTTTCCGCTTCAGAGGCTCCAGTGCTGACGGACCCCTCGGGGTACGGACTCCCTTTCCCAGAGCTGCCGGCGGGTTCAGGTCTGAGTGGCTTGGATCTGCTGGTGGGGGTTAGGTACTCCGGAGGCATCGGGGTGCTCCTATGGGATTGGGAGTTCGGCTGGACACTGTTGCGGGGGGCCCTCTCGCCTGACGAGGTAATGACCGTAGGTTGACCGTCGGGTGGGAAGCAAACTCGGACAAAAGGGGATGCGTAGCGCGGACGCATCTCAAGGGGAGTGTCGTTAGTGTTTGGCGGGCCCACCGTCATGGGCCAAACCCACATACCCAGTCACCCTCCCAGGTCGGGGTCTCGGGCAGCGATGCCCGAGACGTTACACTCGGTCTGGGCCGCGACTGG